TAACCGATAAATTTGCATTACGGCAGTATGACCCCGGAATGTTTGGAGGTAACCTGTGGACGTATCAGGTCTCTACAGACCCCTTGGGCAGCGATGTTATCGCGAGGTGTCGTGATAGTCCACATTAAGTCTTACTTATTGACTTATTACATGCATCGCGTAATCACGTTTTCTACAATTACTCTGCGTCTTTTTACAAATATTATGTTATACATCACATATTTTGTTATAAATATAACGAGCTGAGACGATGAATGGTGATAAAATTAGCACTCTAATGTGCTAATGTTTTCATGATTACGACTATGGAAGTATAACTAAATAATGTAGCAAAATAATCTCAAGTCGGTTGTTGGGGTTTGTGCGTACTGGCTGTAATGGAAAATGTTATTTTGTAAAGCTAGAAACGTGAATCTCATGACATAAATCATACTGAAGATATCACATAAAAACAAGCTATTAATTAATATTCAATTAACAGATAGACTTCGTCTTTGCTGTTGAAAAGTGTTTACAGATTTGTTTAAAATAGTACGTGTATTCTATCTATAATTATACCGTTGTTTGACAGTTAATTTGTTCGCACTGCCGCTATCAAAGCAGTGCTTATATGTTATATATTTTGAATTTTTAGACCTGATTATAACCAGTCCGACATTATTGGTTATTTCTGGTAGACGTTGATCCAGTACACTGAGCTAGGCTATTTACGATCACCGTTTTTATATGATAAATGAAGCTAACATTTCACTTTGATATAGACTACCCTGAATTGTCATGTACAGAAACACCAATTTCCGTTACAACCGTTTGGTTTACATAGATTCTTTGATGGTAGAAAAGTGTCATGTCCCTTTATGTAAAAAACGTAACGAGTGGAAGATTTAACAATTATGCTTTGACTTTCTCCGTCGGAAATGTCCTTAACGTCAACAGTATCGCCTGGTTTACACCCGACAGTGGGCTGGGCTTACAATACAGATAATTGTCCCCTGTATTTAGAAATATTCTATCTTCGCTCGGCCGTAGAAATAATGACATTCTATTCCAGCATTATTAGTGTTTTTGCTAATTTCAAACACTTACCGGATTTCATTGCATGGTTCGAACATGTTTAAAAGTTAACGTTTATTTATCCTGTATTGGTTAAGCCAATAAAATGGAACCTGTCTGTGTCGAACACAGTATGGATCATGCTGTCATTAAGAATAAACGTTATTTCGTATTCAGATGAAAAAAATAACCGGATTATTGAAAATTCGAATCATTAAAAGATACGTTTATAAAATGGAAAGAGCTGCTATAGTTTTAATGTTTAAGACAAACACAGAAATATGAGGAACAATGCTGTAGATGAGTATCAGTCCAAATGACTAGTAAATATATTAGCATATGAAGTTGAAATAATTTGTTGTCCAATCCATTTGTATCTTTAATGTAATTGTAAGCTGTATTGTACAATAAAATATGTTTAAACTCAACTTGTAAATATGACGATATATATTTTTCATGTAATGTGTTATTAGTAAAAATCGTCTTTAAGATATTCTTAGTCAGATTGGAGCCATCCGAATGAGACCATGCATCACACAAGAAAACCCACTCTCCATCCATCATTGCGCCGATTGATCAAGACACTCACATTCAGAATCAACATTAATATTACATAACCCCATCAGGAGATGTAATAACATAACATAAAGAACATATCTCTTAAGCTGTTTTGCTAACTGGATTTTGCAGATGCACGTATGACAATTTGAATTCCATCTGATTTTGCACTCTCTCCCCTGTTAATCGACTTATACCCTGATTACTGCTTGACTAACACCCCCAGTACAACACCTCACACTTCTGCTGAGGTATGCGAACCTTTTCAACGCTCTATGCATAGTATGGTTACTCTATGCATCGATACGAATAGAATTAAAGGAAAAGGAAAACAAACACTGTAACTGTACACATTAATGACCATAGACTGTGTTGCCCCACCCTTGTTGTTAGCCTCACGGTGGTGAGTACAATATGAGGTAATGACAAGAAGTGAACATTTTGCACAATGTGCACCTCTTTAAGGCTTGTGTTACCTATATGCCAATTATAAGTCTTACAATAGGTCGATGCGAAGCATGAAAGTGTCAAAATTGAACTTTGGTCTTTCTTAATATTTGTTTAATTTGTTTCCTTATATGATTTGTAGTTGATTGACATTGCCTGAGTTGTAAAAGCCTCGAGTGCAATACAGTATTCACTCTACGGCATTTTCTTGTAGTACAAAAAGATCAATCTTTACGAACGATAGTCTAGTTGAGTATGTTGCTATAAAGAGTAAAATTATTGACAATATCAAATATAGTTTCAACCTATCATACTTAATGATTAATATGGCAAATGCATTTTTTTCTGCAAAAGTTTCAAGTCATGTGTCAAAAACTATGACGGTTGTTTTTATTGATAATTCAAGTTTTGTCCAAATCCTTGTTTTGTCTGATGGATTCGAATGAACTACCTGATATTGTTATAAGCGAACGTTTATATTTAGACACAAAAATAAGTGCCGTTTTTGTTAAATAAAATGTAATGTAAATAGTGATCCTATTGAATTATCAAATCGCTATCAATAAGGGCGCGATTTATGATTGATGTATTGATTACGATTTTGTATCATAGGAATTTTAATGAGTACGTATTTAAAGTGTGTTCAGAATATTCATTTAGTCCCTGTGTACAAACCTATTGTTAAACTTTACATTCTGTATTTACTAGTCACCACCATTACTCCAATATATTACTCCAACCAAATACTTTCCTTTAAATAAGTATTCTAAAGAAAACATATCCACCATTTATTGTTGTTCAATGGATATTTCGGAATCCAGTAACACCAAAACAATAAAAGGTAGTTAATTAGCGCGAACAAACAGTGTTACCTGGCAGTTATATGTGTCATTGGAAACCTAAAACCTACGGCGCTGTATACAAATTGACAATCAACTGAGCGATATTGAAGCGTGATCAGTGATCAAGTATACTTTTGTTGTGAAAGCAAACAACAATCGCTCACGCCTCCAACTCTTTACAAATTATCTCATTCTGGCTAAGATTAGTGTCAGAACGGATCGGGCATGTCACCGCAATATACCTTAAAACGAAAAACAAACAATAAGATTTATTATTTTTTGTTGTGCAAAGGAGAGAGAGTTTTACCTAAGACAATTGACGCCCTCAATAACTAGGACCGTGTGAGACATCTTAGTCTCGTATTGCTATCGGTCGGTCTATATTATTTTAAGGGACGATAATAAGGGATTATTACCAACTTGAATGGGTGAAAGTAAAAATAACTCTTTTCTTTGTGAACAGAATATATCTAAAAATACACTTGCATACTAATAGATAAATAGGGAAGGTAATGAACATATCAGTCACACGGAGGTTGTTAGATTGACTGTCAACAGGACGAGGCGTTCATGTACATGTATTACTGTTACGATTTGTGGTCTGGTAAATATCACACCGGGAAACTGCGCTAACAACTGGTAAGCTATAGTACTTGAATTTTGTCTTACATCAGTTAACAAATTATATTAACAAACACCTTGTCGCCTTTAATTTAACTATAACGGTTATACAATAAATAAATACAGACACGTTTATGCATATTTTCAGTGACAAATTTGCATTTGTTATATATATATAGAAATATTGTAATTCTATCTAAGTGTCGGCAACATACTTTTTTGAAAGAAAATAAAACAAAGAAAAAAAACAACATTTTTTTTGGCAATTGAAGAAATATGTTATGCCATTCTAGATAATGATGTATCTTAGGATAGGCATAGCCCTGTCTAGTATGTATAATGGTTATCTTTAAAGAATACCGCATGGGAAGTGGAAATCAACTAGACAATAATCGCGAAATCCCGTTATTCCGTTACCATTTTCTCAGACAAATTGTGGCGTTATAAATGGGTTTGGCGATACATCGAGAGGAGCGAGGTTAATGGGAATTGTCATATAAGCTGGTGGAAAGCGGGTGACAGATGAAACGAGGAACATCTATCGAGGTTTGACTAAAGTATCATATGAATAATAATGGACATTATGTCTATATTATGTCATGATAACGATTTATCAATAAGTGGTGAATGATATTTTGGTAATTAAAAATGTACCAGCAAGTGTCATACTAGAATAATGGTTTCGATAACATATTAACAGAAACACCAAACACAAATATTCATCGATCAGAATGTGATGTGTGTTTAATGGCCATGGCTATCAACTGTCCCGCGCGTCCCCACTCCAACCAGCGCCTCTGGGCTCACTCTCAGTGGGATATCCTTTCGGTTTTGTTGCAGATGTTTAAAAGCCCTTTGTTGGGTCTGTGGAATCCCTATTCCTTTTCCGATATCTTAACCTTTATCACTGTGTAATTCATACGGACGACAAAAGAAGCATTATCCTTAGTGTCACCTTGTAAAATAGTACCAACAATGTCGCATATTTGTCCAAACAGAAAATGATTCTATAACATAAATAACGTTGACAAATTTATGAATGAAACTTAATGCGACCTATCACATTTCACAAAAATAAACAAACATGTATTCATAGAAGTCGAAATCGTCCGTGTATTAGTGGGTTGTGGTTTGAGGAAATGTCGTCTTGTTCCGGACTGGTGTTTGGGGGATGGGAGTAGGAAGGGAGCTGTGAAGTAACCCTTTGTATTATAGTGTACACGGCGGCCAAGCGAGGCGTTAGTAAACTCTCACGTAGACGATCATTGGTCTGGGGTAATTACCCGCTATTGATAGCCGGGTAGGTAAGAGTAGCCACGAAACATCGCGTGCTGACAGTGTAGCAGTTCCACACCGTACACATCTGCCCAATCAGGAGATTTGACGGCCAAAATTACCCCCGAAGTGGCAAAACAAATTTGGAAAAAAACGTAACGTGTCGTGTTTCGTATCAAAGAACAATATCTCTTTTCTTTTCAGAGGAAAATGTCACAATGGTAAAAGCGAAAGCGTGCAATCTACGCCTCCACAGGACCAGCAGCCGGTGGAACAAGCAGACGACTCCCCGTGTCTTCAGAGGAGGAATAAAGGTCTAAATGGCACCCAATAGAACTCCTTTCAGACGCAGTATGTTTGGTCTGAAAACCCCCATCTCGAGGTATAGGAAACGATCCAGCTTGGACGATTTTGATGGAATTCGGAGTATTCTCTCCCGAAGGTAAGAGCATAAATAAGTTAGCAACAGTCTTGTAACAATGGGAAGACAAAAAAATAAAATAAAAATATTAGTCTAAAACATTCGCGTTATATTTATTCACATGAATTATTCACCACACTGCTATCTTTGGTTCCACTACCATTAATGAAGTCTGGAAGTTCCACTGTTATTTATATTGCACTATAGGATTACCTCTACTGTAAACTTCTTGGTATACAGGTTTACCAATGCTACCTTCTCCTTAAACCACAACTCTTCTCTGACTAGGACAGTTCCGTGTGGTGACGACCTATCAGTTGTTTTTTTGGCATCACTGCAGACAACCGTCGTTACAAGTCTTAGATCTGGCACACTAATGGTTCTTTCTGCTTGTTCCTCGCTCATTCTCCAAACAATTGTTTCCTTCACGTTGATGTGTCTGTGCCCATACAGTATTGTGAACTTTTAAGATAATAACTGGCCTTCTGTACCGAAGGCGGCAGATGTGATGGGCCCTGTAGAATTGCCGACTTCTGTGCCTCTCATTAAGGACTCTGTAGAAGATACCATTTGATGTTGATTTGCTGTTATCAATGGACAACGTCGTCACATGACCTTGGCTGCTGTGAAGAAGTAAATTACCGAACAAATCAAACCAAGTCTCGTATCGTCCCGTTCCCCTAGCTGCACGTCCTTGTCAGATGTCCTTATACACTTAGTGCATAGGTTTAGCGTATCTTCTAAGTTAGCCTCGTCTAGGAGTTGGTCAGTAAATCTTTTCTGAATAAGTCTTATTATACGAGTTCATTTCCCTCATTGTGTAGTAAGTGGAAGAGGTGAAACAGCTCAATATACACAATACCTAACTGTAAAACAGAAAGGTTTTGTCTTTTTCCATTAAAATAAACTGCAATGACAACATATCAACTGTTACAATAACCCGAGTTCCCTCTGGCCGGCCCTGACGCTAGACTTAAGACAATTTGACAGACAGATACCAGACATCTATTTGTCAAAATGTCTAAGTCTGATGTCAGGGCCAGAGGAAACTCTAAATCTAGAGCAAACGTGAATCCAAAAACTCTGACAGTGTTGTTAAACTTTGGTCTCCAAAATTACATAAACACAGTCTGTGCCAAGGTTGTATGAGATATAATGTCAGTTAACGATGCACTAGACACATCACCGCCATAGCACTTCCAAGACTCCATAGCACTTCCAAGACTCCATAGCGCATCAATGATGGCCAGGATTTAGGTGTATGTGGGACCTATGGAATGGTTTTATGTGCATAAACAGATAGCGATCAGAAAATTCTGATCACATCTGATAAACCATTAATATCTTAACATTGTGTATATGATATAGCATTGATTACAACGAAAATTAGAAATAGTATTCCTGGAGTGATACGGAAACGATGTATCAATCAACAACGAAAACTTCTTCAGATGGCTAGTTAAAAGATACGCGAAAGACATGTTTAATGAAGACTTGTGAATGGCGTTTGGTGAACAATTTGAGGATGTTCTCTTGATCATGATGTGATCTGATCTTCTCTTTGATATATCACCAGTGATGATTTTCTAAATGGACTTGTGTATACTTTATGAAAGTTTAGTTCGTGGTGGAATCCTTTGGAAGCTACCCGGAGAGTTACCTTGGCTATGTACTCGATGACTCACCTGAGCATACCCTCGGATGTTAACGATCTGCTACAGGTGTGGACTGACTGTGGGAATTATCCCCCATACAATCAGTCTAATGTATGCACCAATTACACCATACTCGTCCCATTCATTGATATTACGGATACCTCAGTCGGAGAAAAGAATATCTGTAAAGAAAAGTGATAATTGCTTATCTGTAAGATCGACAAATATGAGTTTGGTGTAATTAAGTGTCAGTCTAGAACTTAACACGCAAGATCTGTTATCGATAGACGTTGTGATTCTGTTAACCGTCAACTCCGCTCCGCTCATATTACAGTAATCCAGGAAGAGAGTTGTCTCCCGTGTGAGTTTAACACTAGCCTTCGACGGGGTCTTAGGGATTAGACCCCCACACCTGGTGTCCGTTGTCTATCCTACGTGATACGCAATTAAATACAGGAGCAGTACATGTGTACTTTTATATATGTACATTATTACTGACGTCATCAAAGTAGATACGATTCATTGACACCGGTTTCACTTTTTGGTAGCTTTGTGCTCCTGACACCTTTTTGTACTACGAAGATTAATTGAATTATTTTATTTTATGCTGTACGTGAAACCACTTTTCTGTAGTCCATGCAGCTCGTATTCCATCTCGGTGTAATCACAGCAGATTATGTGCATATGAACACCTGGAATATGGGTATGGGTTCTTCAGGTGATGTGTGTATAAAGCCAGGTGATTGATGACTAGTCTCTTCAGTGACTTATCAGGTTACACACTTGCATGGATTGCTTGTAAAATTATAAAAAATAATCGGTGAGAAACCATTCATAATTATATTTGGATTCATAGAGACCTATTTCAAAATATACATAAATACAACCATGGCAATTTCCCTTGTGCAATGTTTGCATACTAGTTGAAATCTTGAATCGAACTTGCTCGCTGTATAATTCTAATTAGGAAAATAAAAACGAGCAAATCATAAAATGGTGTCATTCCTAACTATACTAATGTACAGAAGTACAGCTACCTTTATAAAGAATGGGTAACCATAGTCGAACACAACATTGAGTTATAGTGTCATATTAACAAAACCAATAGGTCATTAAGGTAGAGCATCATAAAAAACAAAACCAGCAGGTAACTGAGTTACAGCATCGATACAATAACGAGAGGAGAGAGACAGTGACTATCTAAACTAACAGAACACTGAATAGAACTGCCTTTGAAACCAAGCAGGATATTAAATCATAACATCACCTAGTCCTTAAATAAAACGAGCGAATATTGAATTCGCTCGTTTTATTCAAGAAAATTCAAGATTTGGCTCGTTTTGTTTAAGATAATGTTTATCATTTAACATTATCTTAAACAAAACGAGCCAAATCTTGAATCTTAATATTATCTTAATGTAAACGAACAGAACATTGAATAAAACAGCATCCTAAAAAATGCAAACACGACATGAATTATAACATCAGCTTAAACAAAAAAAAACAATAATTATAGCGTCATAATTATCAAACTAAAAAACCGCATTGAATTATAAACTCATTTCAAACAAAACGAGCAGAACATTAATCTTGAACACGTAGAACAGATATTGAATTTTGATATCAGTTTGCTATGAGAGTACTTCACGTCAGCAACGTTGTACTGCCCCTCGTGAGTTATTCTAGACACAGCACGAACTTAGGACATTGGGTTATCCAGAGTATCAGAAAGAATCATGCTCTTTTATATGTATGTGTGTTGAAAGAGGTAGTATATTACAGTACCTCTGTGATTTAGAGTACGAGACCGTAAATATATGTATGTTTATATACATATCTCAATTCATTAATATTGTATTAGTCCAAAAACAATTATTATCTCCTATTGAAGCTTATTTTGATTGGGCACATCTCCGTCTCATCGTTTTCAAGCAGAAGATATTTTTCTAACTATTATTGTATATATATGCACTGGCGTTTTCTATATATCCTATTATTTAGTGCACAGCTGATTCGTGTCTGATGTTTATTTCGTCTCTCCATATTATTTTCTCAGTTGAAACGTTTCATATGACACTGCAGACTGCGTATCACCATTTCAGCATAAACAATTCAGCACACGCTCACGGTACTAGTGGTAGACGTGCAGTATCAAGTACGCGAACGAAACGTGCAGATTTGATTTCCGTGTCAAATATTAGCATACCTACTTGTCATAGTAAACATGTATACTACAGTATATTGTTCTGGTGTCATACATAGGTGCGATGTTTTCTCGTGCCACTTCGTGGTAAGGCGCGAGCCCTCCGTGTGTACACATAGTGTGATCCCCATATCCAAGTCACTACAACGATGATATATCTTGGACGACAAGCTGTCTCACTGTCTCACAAAACATATATATAGGACTTCTAATTAATACTTTGTATAGATCGAATTACAGGAAGACGTATATGGCAGTAGGAGTAAGCAAACAGTACCGTAGGGTTTACATGACCATTAATTAATTTAACTGGGATAGAAAATGGGACAAAATGTAAATGAAACTGCTGACTCGGGGGAAATTGTAGTAATATATTGCGCAGTCGTATATGAACTGCTTATGGATATAATATACACTGGGAAAGTTAAATATGATCAATGCGACTCACTTTTTCTTACATAGTTAAATACGTGGCTGGTACTATGTACGACTGCTAATTTAGGGATTGATACATTTAAAAACAAATATTGCAGAAAGAAATCAGAGTATCAGTAAATAATATGTATTTTATCCTTTTTGACATGATTAATTTTAAATAATTATAGCGGTTCCTGTATGTTAACCATCTCCACAACCGCTACAATATCAAGCTCAATTTTGTTCCTATCAAAATATCAAGTTGTAGCGATAACCAGTTAATTAATTTTAAGCTTGAATAATGCAATGGTTGTAAAATTATCCTGTCGTAATTTGTAAAATAAATCGCCTCCAAAATAATATTGAACAGTAGCATCAGTCAAATATCACGGGGTAAGGGAACTAACTCGTGTTAAAAACGTGATAACAAAGTTCACCTGGGACGCATAATGGTTACGGATAAGAAATGTTTAAAAGTTCGTCTTTTTATATTCCATTTTTTTTTCTTGATAGTGTCCATTTCAGTTTCCGTTTGGTTGCTTTTTGAGAAGTGTGAAGAAAAAATTATCCTGTCGTAATTTGTAAAATAAATCGCCTCCAAAATAATATTGAACAGTAGCATCAGTCAAATATCACGGGGTAAGGGAACTAACTCGTGTTAAAAACGTGATAACAAAGTTCACCTGGGACGCATAATGGTTACGGATAAGAAATGTTTAAAAGTTCGTCTTTTTATATTCCATTTTTTTTCAAATCACAATAACATGTATAACAGTATACATTTGAAAATATACAAATACATAAATTTAAGATTTGCATAGTGCATTGATTGTACGACATAAAAAGAATAAATTAAGAAGCTTAAGAAAGATCCAGTCTCTTGATAGTGTCCATTTCAGTTTCCGTTTGGTTGCTTTTTGAGAAGTGTGAAGAAAAAGACATCGACATTCGATGATTTTGGAACAGGACGGGATTTCATCTTTGCATTAACATTTGTAAATATACTGGTTTATTAGTAAGAAAGCTAATGTCCCCAATTATCATCATGTCGTAAAAACAAAAAGACTGAAACATATGGGTGGCCATGGTATCATCAACTTTGCTTCTCTCAATTTAATCAAATGTTTGTCTACGTGTATACAGTCCCATGATGTTTTAAAGTGTCCTTTTTTATTACAAAAAAACAAACTAGTTCTGTTTCGACAATATTTATTTTCATTAGCAATGTATTCGCGATTATAATTCTATGCATTAAATAAAATTGGAAACATTGTAAAGCGGTAACGCCCGTTACAGAAAACGTCTGAGTGAAAAAATGATGTCACTGTGATCTGGGTACAGTTATCTTCCAATGTCAATATGTTATTGAGAATTTATTTGTACTTCTCAAGCAAAATATTACTAAATACTTTAATAACTCTTTCAGTTACCTTCATATAAATGATATGTGTATTATTTAATCCTTGTTAACTTTCTATTATTTAACCTTATAATTACATTCGTAATGGCATGGATAAATATTTTTGATCTGCAAGTGGAACTTCTTTTGAAAGGATTTAAAAGTGAGATCGAAACATCCCAATTCGTCATGTAAATCAATTACAAAAAAAATACATCTGCTTTTACCCCACTGCTGTGTATGAAGCACTTCATATTCGTTTTAATGTATTTGTTGTTACAGATAGGTTACAAAATATTTTCTAATATTAAATTTCCTGGGGTTGTGTTGCTATCTTCTTGCAAAGAGCTCCAAATATTAAAACAATACTCCAAAAGATCTTCAAATATATGTTTGTCTGTTTAAAGCTTACTTAAAAATAAAATTTTAATCTTCAAATTTCTGAAAATGAAAGTACAACGGTATATAGACAGGAACGGTCGTGATCTGTGGTTTAAATATACGCCATACAGTCTATATTTTTTCTTGATTTAAATGTCTGTTTAAAAACATAACTATTGATCCTTTTATCACTGATTATTTAGTTAATTGATTTGTTATATCCTAATGTACTACGACTACTGAAAGTTTGTTATCCTGCCCTCGGGCAGAGACGTATTTATATCACCACTCCATTGATCTTATACGTTTCTACTTTGACTTTAACCTTTTGTATTAAATCTGCTACTGCTTACATGTTAAATTATAAAGAAAGAAAGAAAAAATACGTGTGTATTGGTGTACATAGGCGAATTGTAGTTACTTCCCTTTGTCCTCTTCTTGACGAAGTGAGGCAAGTAACCCCCTTATCAAAATAAATCCCCGGATGTAAACAAAATGGAGGACAAGGAAAGGTGAACGAGTGAAAATATAAGTTATTTTAACTACATTTGATGTAGGAAACGTCATAATATGGCCCATCACGCGCGATTAGGGCCTTTTTATGATCCCAAATTGGAACAGGGAGTTTTAAGTCAAACACTTAGAGAGACGTCACCGCGGAAATGGGACCTCGGTACAGAAAGGGGTCACCAAACATGGACACCAACAAGTTTTGACAGAACACTCACTACTTTTGGCAAGTCAGAGTAAGTGTTCATGATGTGTATGCGGTAAATAATCGGTGTAAACAGTTCAGTTTTATATTTGATGTGCTACGGATTTGAAATATGTGCTCATTTTTGTGATTACACGGCCTGAATCTCCGAGTAAATGGAGTGAATGCACTGATTGAACACAATAACAAAGCAGTGTCTGTATCGGATTACATGCCCACAGACAGGTAGTCCGTTTGTCTCAGGCAGTCACTGACTCACTATAAGCTAGGAAGCAACCCCAAGATAGATACGCTGCACGACCGACGACACATCGTTGCAAAGCTTGTGTTGTTTTTATGACCATAATCCCGTCACAGTGTTGTGACTGGCTGTGGGAGATTATTGTTGTTTGTTTAATGAGATTGTTTACACAAATGCAAAAGTGAGACCTTTAAATACGAAAATAAACTTAAGCTGTGAAATCCTTCTTAAATTCGGATTGAATTCTTAAGCTTTATCAGATAAACTAAAAAATAAAATGTTGCATACTCAATTACATATACAACACTTCAATTGTAGTGATATATATATATTATATATATTTGTATGTTATGTATAATTGAAAATTGAGTGTAACATAGATGTAATCCATGGAGGAGAGCTATACCTTCGGCAACATTGAGAGTTGCAGTTTCAGTTTAACAATACATGCTCATGCCATATTTATTGATTAACAAAATCAAACTGACCGACATGGTCATGAAGTTCTCTTGAAAAAAAGTTGCCATGGACATGTATAGTGAACAGTTTATTGTGTAAAGTTTTTTTTGGAGTCCAGTCCTTTTCTACTGTATGGATGGCCTATCTTCTTAACTTTTAATATTTCCAGAAAATCTATGAGACCTGCATGTACATATGTTGTATAAAAATTCTAGAAATATTTATCCTCTCTTTCTGGTTACAAAGAAAAATGGTAGTGACTGTACATAAGTAAACCCTATAAAATATTGTACATCTGATCTCCTCATATATTTTCTCTTCATAAAAAATGCATGTACCTCTGTGCTAGACAGAATGACCCCGTCAGTTTTAGCCAGTTCATTTCAAATCTATCTCTGGATAATGCTCATTTTATGATGGTCTTGATTCTTTTTATTCACATATAACAATTGGCATAATGCAGTATTTAAACTGCTAGACTAATTGAGTATCAATTGTTTAATGTGCACATGAAAGTCAGGGATTTTTGGGAGCTTAGAAAATCAGATTTTCACTAAAGTTTTGGGTGAAAACATAATTGATTCATAGACATAACATGTCCTTCCAAAACCAGGAGTCAGGAACATATTGTCAAGAGTCTGCCAAAAGGTCTGAAAGTCAATTACAATCTTAGTTCAATATGCTGATCTGAATTAATAATTCATGTACACAGTGTACATATGTATTACGAACACCCAATTGCAAGTTCACATTGATGCAATACTTTGTATAAAGCAATAGAAAGAAGACAGAAATGTTATGGTAGAGTCTCTGAGTCAGTATTTGGTTTGAAAATATGATCAAATGCATTCTAAATAGCAAGCTTGATAATATAATACACAACATGATGGTAAATTTAGTTTCATGCATTTTATTAGTTCTATACATTTGTTTCTGTAATATATTTTCAGTAAAGTTCAGGAGAGTTGGACTTCACATGTGAGACAGCAAGGAGATCTGTTCTATGTTGATGTAAATGGAAGTCATGGCAATGGACATGTTCAGCAGCCGCCACATCCCAGCAGTGGATCATTTCACCACAGCAACGGCTCACTGGACCACAGTGATGACTCCAACCAAACCTTCAGCAGCAGGCTAGGGGAGCCTCCAAAAAATAACTTCTATAAAGGAAGGCAAAATGGTCTTCATACAGATACAGGGGCACAGAGGCCAAAGGTCAATGGACATGTTCAGACCAATGGTAGTAGTTTTGGTTCAAATGGTTATCATAAAAACCAATCTAAGTATATTTCCCAAGACTTTGATGATGAATATGTTGAGTTGGACAGGAATGGCTATAATTCATGGACCTCTTCTCCACAGATCAACAACAAATATCATAACACAAAGCAGGATGTGAATAACCAAGAACATGGTGACAAGATAAAGCATGTGTATTTATCACCTAATTACAAAAACTGTAAAAATGGCCAAATGTCAGGTATTAAAATGTGTGAGAAGATGTTTGGAATTAAATTGTGTCAATATAATGACAAGACACGCATCAACAACAACAATAATGTTGTAAAGGACAGAAAAGTTATTGTGCAAGCTGTAGTTCCCGGGAGTGCAGCAGAAAAGTGTCGGCAGATACACAGAGGTAGGCAGCCATGCATGTCACATAAAAGTAATGGTGCAGAAAAGTGTCCTTAATAGATATAATTTAAAAGTGCAAACTGGTTACCTGTTTGCAAATATAATACCTGAAAACCTGAAATACAAGTGAAAAAGTTCTGTACTTAACAGATGTATCTGTATAGCTTTCATATCAGAATACAGATAGACAACAACGTTTGTATGAATTTAAGAACAACTCTTAGATCTGTTGACTGTTGAATATTATTTTTGTACAGCGAAAGCAAGCTGGATGTACATGTTGAGTCTGTATTATACCAGTAGTTTCAAGCCTAATCAACAGTGGTTTTTCCTTTGTAGGTGATATGATGTTGGGTATTAATGATATGGAAGTTTCCTGGGTGAACCTTGATAAAACCTTCAATTCCATTTCAAACAAAAAGGTAAGGAAGATGAATGTATCTAGAAATATCATCATACATTTTTACTACAGCGTGTATATGATAAATTATGAACAGTGTATGTTCAATAGTATTATGTCTTGATGTTAATTTTAAACTTCTGATACACATGGAAACTATATCCGGGGGGGGGGCTTGTATGTTTATTATATGTATTACATACCTAATTCTTAAATGGACCTTTAAATTAAAACTGTAATGAAGGTAAACTAACCAATATAATTATGATCTGAGTGTGCATTAAGTCTGAATGTTGCTGATATCCAAAACCAAAACAATTTTCACATTTTCATATCTATAATCTAATATAAGTCATGCTTGTTTCATTTCAGGTAAAAGTGACATTCCAGGTGCCTGTTGTGATTGGTCCTCAGACACCCCCACCAGTGCCACTCCCTACATATATACATTCCTTGCCCCCAAAAGTCCCACCTCGACAAGAGGGAGAGGACATTGTCCAGCTGGTGACGGGCACCACCACTGGGGTACTATCCAGCAAATTCCAATCTTGCCTATGCTCGTTTATGTACCTTACGCTGGAGGACACAGGCAGTGAATCAGAAAATCATAGAGTAAGTCTCTATCTGTATTAATATTACTACGTGGTGGCACCAGGTTCATGAGCAATCTCAATTACTAGAATTGTCGAAACATTCAGATTTTAGCCATATGTCATCACATGTGAGATGAAGAAATGGGCACAAATCACATTTTGTTTTTCATAAACTACAGATCTATAATGAAATTATTCCATTATTATTTCATTGTTTTAAGGATGATTTTCTGACTTGATTCTGATTAATTTTTTATAGGATGACATTCTTTATATGTTCCCTCGGGATGACAACATTGCAACAGAAATTAGAGGTTTATTCTTAACCCTATGTGGGGTCCTGCCAGAGGTCACTGGTACTGCAGTACAAACATCCACTCTACTGTACAAAGGACAATATATCCACACAGTGTACAGTCGATATGGAAAGGATTTACTGGTTATAGCCATGCCTGCTAACAGGTAAGTTTTGAAAGAAACACTACTTTGGTTTTGTACTTTGTATCTTTTATGAAATAATAATTCTAACTTGCATAAGAATGATGTAACTTTAAATGGGTATAGAATGTAGAATATTTTATAAGGATTTTTTCTAGAAATCTGGAAATCAAGTAAAATTTGAGAGGAGGATGTATGTTCTCTGTCCCTAGTATAGTAAAGCACTGTATAGATGATCTGAAGTGTACAATGTGATGACAGCTCTATCTATGTGTGTTCCAGAGTACCCCTTCAATACCTCCACTGTATCAAGTCTGAGCTACAACAGGTGATGGATCTCCTATTCAGCTCAACGTCAAGGTAAGCTTTACACACCTTGTTACAGGGTCATTAGGTCTGACATTTATAAAACAGAAATTACATATATAGAGATGTTTGAGAAAATATAGTCATACCTCTACAATATAGAATTTCCTAATGAGACACCTTTTTGTTTGAGATTCATTAATTAGTTTTTACATTAATTTGGCCAAAACAGTATTGTAGTCCACCTAACATTTCTATTCCATCATCAATGCTTAAGAAATGTTACTTGTTGGTATTAAACATTCATTAGACTATAAATATGTTTGGCAGGTGTTGTTGTAGCTAAAATGTATTCCAGCATGGTTAACACTACATGAAATACTACTTTTATCTGTTACTGACTAAAGTCCCCCCCTCCCCCCCCCTTTTCTGTATTTCTGTTTCAAAACATATGATACAGAAACTGTTAGCTTTGTTTGGCTTCCTTTATCATTTTTATACATTTTAAATAGATGCTTCCTTGCGTCATATTCCTGGTGATTAATTTACATATCAAACTTATAATGATTTTTTTTTCATTTCTTTTTTTATTTCCTTTTTCAGGGCATTCAGGAAACCCAGACATAAAAGTCACCTGGACCAGCTGTTCAGTCTGACACTTAACAAGATTTTTGGTTCTGATAGCTTCAACAATACCTCTAGTCCGTCCTATAAGGCCCTGTGTGGCTCCGTCCCCGGTACCAAGTCATTGGAATTATCACAGGAGAACAAGGTATTGTAAAACATCTAGATCTTTGATTATTAGCATATCAGTATTGTTAGTATTCACATTTATTCATGAGCATATTCATTTAGTTTCATTTTCACAAATTTTTGTGGGATGATACTACCTATATAAGAGACCATATAGTAAAATCTATTTTGTAATGTTGTCAGGTAAGACAGCTGTACAGTTAACTGAAGAATTTTACATATTTACATTTGCTTGGCATTGCCCCTCAGTAAATTTTTTGTAACTTAGTTCTGACAGAAATGTCTGAGGATTTGATGAGCAAATAAAAACAATTATCAGATGATTTTCAGAATTAATGAAAAAATACAAATAAACTTCAAGAAATTTCTAGTATGATTCTAAATAGGATTGCAGGCAAAAAAACAACTGTGCAAGTAACAATGCAGCTTGATCATGTTTAGTTTGTGCATGTTTTATGTTGTGAATTCATTTGAAATAGATGTGTGATTTTGTTGCAGGTTCTTTGTGATGAAATACTCAGTGAGTTTGAAGCAGCAGATTTTGATGACTTGGTAAGAGTTTGTTAATTTATTGCTAATGGTTATAATTTCTGTAATACCTGTGTGACTAAAAGGAACATTTTGGTATTGTGAACAAAAATTGTGGTTTATATATGAGAATTATTAAGAAAGACTATAAGCTAATATAAATAACCTACACTTTTCTTTTATACTAGAATGAGATTGTTATCTATGTTGTTATCATTATGAGTGTTTCTTTAACATGGTTAATTTTCACTGCAGGAAGAAGATTTGCCATTTGACAGAAGAACATTTACAATACTGGGCACTTGCTTATTCTATAAGGTGATTATTGACATCCGAGGAAAACAGATTTATTAAAGAAAAAAGACAAAAAGAAATTGGGAAGAATTATTGTGATGTTATGAACTAGATTGTTGATTCACAGTTTATTGATTTAACATTGATAAGAAATTATGTTGATGTCCACTAATATCCTATTAAATCCTAATAAATTAACATTTCTATAATTTATAAAAACTGATTATTATTATAAGCTTTAGGTAAAGACAACAATTTAAGAGGTGTCATGTTCCTTTTTGATTTGGTTGTAGAGTTAAAAAATATAAATAATTAGTAATCTTTTTGTGGGCGGTGTGAAGATATATGTGTATTACGTATACTATAACTGTGTATTTATCAGGAGTACCTGCTGTCTAACCACATGGCAGCAGAAGACCTGCGTGATGTCCACCTGTTTCTGAAGTACCACTGCCTATTACATCTGGTGTCCAAACAGAATGTTGAGGAACTGGTTGTTTGGAGGGAGGTGTTCCCATCCCGGCTCTGTCGACCCTCCCAGGCCTCTCCTGTGGGCTACAATGAGCCTTCTGGGCGCTGGTTCCTCCTAATAGTAGGAATAGTGAGTTAGATTTCTGTCTATACAATTCATTGTTGTCTCCCTCTTATATATGGGTATAGTTCAAGGAATTCAGTAAAATTTGTTATTCCAATGAAGAATCAAACAGTTGTCTTTTGATTAGAAGTACATTCAAAGTGCCTTTTACTGTTAACAGAATAGTTTCCTGCTAGGAACCTTGCTTGAGACAGGAGGATGTGCAAGGACAATTGACGGAAACCCTCGCCCCGATCCTTTCTACATCAGTCAGGCTAAGGCAACTTTACTACAGCTGGAGACTGATGATGTAGCCATGGCAGAGTGTTGTGAGAACAGGTGAGGTCGCCAGTACCCGGTATAAAATATAATTCTCTTTAACTGTAGATTCTTGTGGCTGCCTTCACCAGAGCATAAAATCTGCAAATGATGACTTTAATTTGTTTTCTGAAATTATATTTGCTACTTATGGTATTAATTTATTTTGTAGTTTTGTTCTGCTGAAGTTTTTTGCAGAAGTAGGACCTACTGCTACTGCCTTAGTTAAGGTTGTACAATAAGCAGAGTTAGATTTGTTAATTTATGAAAACAGATACTGTAAACAATATCATTATTTTTCCCCTTCAAAATATGAAATGTTTGGCCCCATTGTAGTCTTAAATTGGTGGCTTGTTAAAAAGTGTCAAGGTTGGCAATACTTTCTTGGTAGAAAGATAGTCTAGGAAATCACCACAAATTAATATATGAACAAAATCTCTAGATAGAAAAAGTTTAAAGTATGATTTGTGTGTGCTAGATTGAGCTCTGAGAAAAGTGGCCCATCCCTTGCCAGTGCCGATGCTCTGATGCTTGGCACCAAACCAAAGAGAGAAGATACAACACCATCAAAATCTCAAGGATCACCAAAGTCTCGTAAGGATAATAATGTTCTTGACTAGAATTTCTACATCACTGCTCTAGCAATCCCACACTTGTGGTCTGGGCTATACATGTTTGCTTTGCATTTCACAGACATCTCATAGATTTAACACAAAATGGTGAAATTCTTGCTGAACTACTTTATTTAAATATTCAAATTTTCAAGTTATTATTTCTCATTTGCTTGGCATTTGTACTCTCCTTTATTGTCAAATTTAAATTTGTTGCAAGTGAAATGTTGTGTTATCTGTTGTAGTGTCGTTGCACAGCTATTAGATTTGTTTACTTTTATGCACTTGTATATTTTATGCACCTTGTGTCACTTTATCTTTCACTTCGTTTATCCATCCTTTATATCCTGACTTACATTGTATGTACATGTATCAACCTTGTAGCTAGAAGTGATATCAGGATATTTGCCTGTAAGTCAAGTATAGCTTAACGACACAGAAAGCTTATATATATCTACATTTGTAATAGAACATGACTTTAAAATACTCATACAAATGTACTACAAACCATTGAAAAATGAAAGAAATGGCAATCAAATATTATCCTTAAAACTGTAAGTACTGAACTGTATGACTAAGTGTGGCTTCCATTGATATATGTGATCAGTATGCAGTAATCCCGACAACATTCTTAAGGAAGGCGCATGCTAACAGAAAGTAATTGTTTAAATAAGTTTTTGATTAAAATTCTTTGTATACGTGTGAAATAAACCAAATTCCTGCTCTAATGAACTCGAACTGGGGTACATGCATATTGATTGTCACTAGCCTGTGTCTGTCTCGTTGGCGGCCAATAGAAATCAATGTCGTCTGTGGCAGTCCTAGTGCTATGATTCAGATTGACAGGTGAATTTGCTTTGGTTGTCGTGGCAATGCTATGTAAATATGTGTTTGTAGAGTAGTAAATGTCCATATGTGTATAGTCATTTCACCTGTCATGTAAAATATATATATATATAACAAAAAGTCTACCAGTGTGGTAATCACGCCTGTTACACAAGCACTGCTTCGTCTCTTTATCACCTGCCTCTTTCCTTGCCTCAACAGCCGCTGTAACTGCTAGAGCTGCTCCTGACTCCTCATGGCCGCTAGGCTCTTATTATGTCACTAATAGAACATACTTCTATAGTGAGTATCTGACATCACCCATTCAACTTCATTCTGTAGTAGAAAATTAGTCATCAGTGTAGAAATGTATACATTTATTTACTTTCAGATCAAGCTATACATGTATTTTACTTTCACAGTTTTTAGACTGATAATATAATTTATAATGCATTATAATGTAGTATGCTTCACAGAAAACTAAACTGAAGGATACCTTTAGGTGAAGTATTAATCTAAACATGATTATTAAATTGATGAATTTCAGAAAGTCTAGATTTTCTTTTCCATGCCTTGAGATAGTTCAAGTATGATTTACTTATCAATTAAATATTTCTGAATACATTGATGTAAGAGAATATTGTTTATGTCTCCAGCTCTTGCAGTCTATGATAAGGAGTTGTTATCAATATGATATGGTTTTGTAGGTCATGATGAACAAGAAGTGGACAGGATTTCTCATGGTAAGGGTACAGCTTACACAGGAAGTGAGACGTCCACCCCAGTAATGAGACGACAGGGCAGTAAACTATCCTATGGGTCCAATGACTCTGGCGGCAGTGGTAGTAGTGCAGGTGTCAGCCGGGGCAACACAGTAAGTCTTTTACACTGCTCAGCGTTTGTGTACATAAATTAAAGACTAAATATATGTTGAAGTTTTACCTGAGTAAGTGTTGGTCTATTATGGTTGTTTCAAAAATATTCTACAGATTATGAGTCCAAGAAATAATGAAATAAAGACCAAAGCCATTTTTATATGCCCATAATGGACCCGATAACAATAAAAAAAAAAAAATGGACATAGAAGCTACGGTTCCCGCAGCTACAAAATAACATGCGCCATAAACACAGTAAATGAAAGGCAAGGTCACAGTAAAAAACAAAACAGTGGCAGTTGACATATTTGTATCATATGTCACTACCTGCTTCCAATATACCAATACCCTTCCGAGGGTCTGACGTGCATATAATGCTTCCGCTCGAGGTGCTTTTGATTGGGAATATGTTAATGTGATGTTTTTCTGTAGAATATATATCTGATGCACGTGTATTCTTTGTTACAGAGTAAGACCCTTAGTAAAGCCGGGTCAGTGTTTGACATGGTCAGTATGAACCAGAGTCTGACCACAGTGTCGGATGAGAACAAGTCTGTCTACCCCATCAAGTGAGTAAACTACTGATGATAAGATAAGATGAAGTAATCAAGTCAGTAAACACACTTAACATGAAGTTTAACAACTGGAGTGATGGAAAACTTAAAGCCAGTTGTGTAATTTGCTGATTAGTACATACGTGTGGGTTTAAAGTTAAGTTGAACATGTACACCACCCAATGTGATGGTCATACCACATAGCTATGTAATTATATAAGATTTAAGTGAAGAAAATAACAAGTTTTATTTCAAAATTGTGTCGATGTGATATTTAAAGCTTATTTTACGTTTGTATCACTCCAGGGTCACTAAAGGAGTAGACAATGTGTTGTTTCACTATCTCAATTTTGACGGCATGGAGGGAGTGTATGTATGCCCCACTTCTCAGGAGATGAGCATGTCTCAGGGAGCGTTGCATGCTCAAGTCCTACACAATTTCAGCACCTCTTGTCTACAACTACGCGAAAAGTTCCAGCGGAGCAACATGGTGAGTGAATAATCTCCATCAACGCATGTAATGTATCAAAATCATATTAACAGGGTGTGTTTTTTTCAGTTCTTTTGTTGTGATTATGCCATATGTTGTTCATGTGTAATTGCTTAACCCTTTCACCCCTATGTAACTTTAGTAGACTCTACCATGCGCCGATATGGATGAGTCCATTATGGTCTGCGGTGGTGAAAGGGTTAAGTATTGCTTGGGAAATAATTGTAGATCAATAGGTATGTTCTCTAAAGAAACATGAAGATAACATGAGGTAAATTTTTACCTGTCATAGTTTGATCTTTGTCAAAAAAAGTCCCTTTAAATTTAGCTTAGGGTGGAGAAAAAGCCTTTTTACCTAAAACAGACTGATTCTGTTTTCCTTGTTAATGTTCTTACCAGGGCTTCGTTAATCTATTGGTAATTTAGAATAACACCAAATTATTTCACTGATTTCTTTTGGGATGTTTTGGAAATATAGATATTCATAGACTTCATTTGTAGGAATAAAAAGGATCATATTGAAGAAAAATAGGGACATACAAATACTAGTTTCGTTTAACAGTCACAATTTTGAACATACTTGTCATACAGAAGTTTTGTGACAGGTATGAGAAAGAATATAAACAACATGTTCAGATTTTGTTTTGATTTATTTTGAACAGAATCCAGAAACAACATGCAAGCACAGATTTGGTGAGGATAACACCTTCAAGCATGTTCAGGAGCAAGGCACATTGTTCCAGTACAAACCAAGTGTAGCACCAGACACCAAGAAAGTGCCTCCAGCTCACAGTTACTGGGTCATTGGGTATGTAGGCGTGTTACATAACAGAGGGACAGGCACAGGGGGCACATGTAGTTAAGTTGATAGGAAATGAAGTGGTGGATAATTTCATATTTCAGCATTTTTATAGGAGGCAACATGAGAAAATTTATTGTGAGTGGTGGACGTCACAAAAAAGTGCCTATCCCCACAACACACATTTTCCTACATATTCTATTTTTAGCTCACCGGGTCCGAAGGACCAAGGTGAGCTTATGCCATACTGTGGTGTCCGTCGGTCTGTCATCCGTACGTCAACAATTTCTTTAAACAACTTCTTCTTCTTACCACTGATTAGAATTTAACTAAATTTGACTGGAAGCATCCCTATTTGGTGGGGATTCAAAATTGTACAAATGGTGGGGCTGACCTCCCATGGGGGCTGAGGGGTGGGGCCAAAAGGGGGCAATTTGGATATATTGCTTTAAGTAACTTCTTCTCTGGAACTAAGAGATGGATATCAACCATATTTGCCTGGAAGCATCCCTAGGTGTAGGGATTCAAAATCGTAATAATGGTTGGTCTGACCCCCCAGGGAGCTGAGGGGCAGGGCAAAAAGGGGGCAAATTGGTTATATTGCTATAACAACTTCTTCTGTAGAACTATGCCATGGATATCGATCATATTTGGTCAGAAGCATTCATGGAGGCAGGGATTCAAAATTGTACAAATGGTGGAGCTGACCCCCAAGGGGGCTAAGGGCAGGGCCAAAAAGGGTTATTTGGCTATGTTGCTTTAAGCGACTTCTTTGGAACTAAGAGATGGATATCAACCATATTTGACTGGAAGCTTCCCTAGGTGGTGGGGATTCAAAATTGTACAAATGGTGGGGCTGACCCCTCGGGCTAAGGGGTGGGGCCAAAACAAGTTTATTACTTGGAAATGGTTGAGATCCCCACTGTATAACCATATACATGTATACAATTGCTGAGTATAAAGAGATGAATGCACATATGCTTCCAGGATGGCCTTGGGGGCTGCCCCACCCTTGGAGACTTAACCTCTGGGTCATAACTTCAAAATGGTTGAGATCCCCACCCCAAAACTATAACTAAAAATGCTGGGCAAAAAGAGACAAATGCAGTCATGATATTAAAAATGATCCTGGGGTCTGGCCACAACCCTAGGGACCTAGTTTCTGAGTCACAGCTTGGGAACAGTTGAGATCCCCACCCCATAACCATACATATAATTGCTGGGCATGGAAAATCTAATACAGATATGCTACAAGGATTAGCCTTGGGGGTCTGGCATATTCCCTTGGATCTCATTTGGAGAATATTTTGCCATGACTGCTTAGATATCCAGGTGAGCGATACAGGCCCTCTGGGCCTCTTGTTATTTCTGCCAAAGCCAGAGTAAGGTAAAAGAATAAGATGATTGTGTGGACGGTAACATGTTTTTCTCTGAATCAGTGAGGCAGAATATCACTAATGGAGGTGAAATATTTCTAAAGCTCAATTGTAAAATAAATAGAGTTAAGATTTTATTGAGGACATTTGTATGTTGTAGACGGCGTTACCCTGGCAACAGAGAGTTATTTGTGTGCTTCCATGAAAGTGTGCCACAGACAGCCATAGAACTAGCATTTCGCATGGACTTTGGCTCCTGACGACCCAACTGAAATTGTTCCACAGACAGCCATAGGATTAGCATTCCGCATGGACTTTGGCTCCTGACGACCAAACTGAAATTGTTCCACAGACAGCCATAGGATTAGCATTACGCATGGACTTTGGCTCCTGATGACCCAAATGCAATGCAGTGGGTCATGGAGATCAGAATTTATTCCACAGATTGGGTAGCTTCTGGCTGGCCAGTGCAAAATTTTCCTTGAAAACCATTTCATTCCATGAGGATTTTTTTTCTGTCATTGATGCCCAGAATGCCCAGAGTTTGTCGAATACGACTAATTGGGGTCAAGCTGTTGAAGCAATATCACTTGCCATCGTAACCTCAACTGAAGCAATGGATTTGTCATACATGTGGCTATCCTATAGCGTGTATAGACAAGCTGTGAAACCATCCTGTGACTTCTCTGATCATGGAACACGCTTCAAATCATGCATAATATTGAGGATTCCAATCCGACAAAACCATAACATAATAGTAGAATTGGTGCAATCATTTATTCTCTGTATTGTGTTAAGCAAATCTATGGGTGATCCTGCATCGCAATAGTTCACCATGTTTTGTAGGAAGATTACAGGGTTTTAAAGTTCCAATGAATATTGTAAAAAGCCTTCTTTTATTTAATTTAGTCTATAAAATCAATGATTAGTGCTTTAGGAGGGCTGATAATAAAGGACCATCAAGATAAAAAAATATCAAGATAAAAATATTGAATGAATACCATACTTATTAGTATTGACATTCTCTCAATGCACACTTCCATTATTTAAAAGGTGAAAACTGGCAGTGCTTTTCACAAGGATGTTCTAATTGCTTCCGTCCACATTTACTACATTTATATTGTTTGTTATAAGATATTTATATTTACAGTGAATCTTGTGCTTTTCATGATCAGTGTAGAATGTCATTGATAACCCTGATGATATCTGGAAACAAATACTTGAGCAATAAACTGCGACAGATAAGGGAATGGACCATAGATGGGTGAAGAGAAGGTAAATGACAATACGGCCTACTTATTTAATTAATATATATTGATATTTATTGCTTTGTAATTATTTAATAGCATTAAAGTGTAAAATCAAATACCTGTGGTATTTAATATTTACAACATTATTTGATTTGAATATATACCAGTATTTTATGGTGTCAGCTAGCTTTTAGGCTTGAAAGATGTTTGTATAAAAGGACATACGGTATTATTATACTTTGTGCAAAAATAATTTATATAGCTTTCATATTTGATATTAAATGTTGATATACATAAAGTTGTAGTCGTTTGATAATATTATGTAGTGTTTTGAGATTCGTGCCCATGTCTTGTGTATGTAGGTGTGGAGTTTTACTGTGTTGTGTGTATGACTGGTGTGATGTGAATTGTTTTGAGGGTTCATTGTTTGTATCAGTGTTATTTTGTGTGGAGTTTAAACACCTGTGGATTATTATACAGGTGAACGTGTAGCAGTGTACTATGATTATAATGACTGTGATATGTGCCAAATTTTACATACCTGTGATATAGTTATTTAAATCATCATTAGTGAGTGTGTGTCATTATTTTCACATATTTGTGTCAAACCTTTATCGGTATGTAGAACACTGTGTATTTACATCACTCTAGTAATTCCTCAGATGAAATGTGTTACACAACAGAGAAGTCCAATGGGAAGTTTAAGTCTTTGCAACCTTACTGTTGATGTAGTATATTTCTAAATTATTTTTGATGAAAAGCAACTTTGAAAGGAACAGAAAACTTACAATTTAAGTGAAAGTTTTTGTGTATGCAATGGGTATGTCCTCAGCTGGACACTAAATAGCTGTTAATTTTAAAGTTGACTTCTGTAAAAACCTTCATTATCAAAACCTGCTGTTATCATTTCTACTCATTACAAAGCTTGAACTTGTGTCAATAGTTCAGTTTAATATTGTTTAAAAACTGTACATCTAGGTAAGGAACATGATGTTTTATTTGTCATGTCATAAAAATTAACATATCACAAGCTGAAATCATTTTTTGGCCATTTTCATCCCAACATAGGCCAGTTAGATGGAGTTTCTCTTCCTAAATAAAGATAATTCCACAATATTTTGTGACAGTCCTCTATTGTGAGGGAAAGCGTTAACTGGTCAAGTTACCCTCAATGAGAGGGACGACCAGATGTGTAGGATCAATATCCGTCCACTTGATACACAAGATGATCAACCTGCTGACATTATGGAGATAACGTTAGGAATCTTACCTGTCATTCCACATAGACGGTGCTATACTTGGATAATAATGTGTTCATTCCACATGTAAATCAGGTCAGGGTTGTAAAAATGTGTCCTTCTCCAGTTTAACCACCAAGTTAGTTCTCACTTTGCCATATTACTGTTAGAAAGTAACTACTTATACTTATTTACTATTATTCTGCATTAAGACAATAAACAGCAAATATTGTTAAACTTTTTACTTATATCTATACTTGTTGGTACTGGCTGATAACAATTTATACATGTATGAACTGATGTGCTTCATATAATATTCCAATATTATTCCGTAAATGATTTGTAAATGCTGTAATTGGAAATTTGATTTGTTTAAAAAATTCGATCTTGCAACACAAACTTCATTCTTTAGCAGTTTAAATAAAGAAAAAATGCGAGGCAGACTCTTTTGATAGTGCATTATTTTGTACATCTTTGTAAATTTAAGATGCCTCCGCTATTAGAAAAATAATCCTTCTAGTGCTAAAATATTTCAAAATTCCACCAGCTTATAGCGTACAAAGAATTTGTCACTGGTTCTTTTTCCGAAGACTTTGACTATAGAGTAACAGGTTACTCTTGCCATATCATAAGCTCACATCCGTCATTTCATGCCAACGTTACATGAAAAGTCATACTTATTTTATTTTATGTATTTTTTAAAAATTTAATGCATATATCCAGATATGATTTAATCTACCTCTTACTTTCTGTTTCGTAAATGTCGTGATTGATAATGGCGTCTCTTATAACCTTAATGCAGGTTATAGCTGTACTATACGTATACCTGGTATATATTAATGGGAGGGGAATTTTTGCCTGTAATGTTTTGCACCTTTGGGTCCAATTTTGTTTGGAAAAATAATTTGAGAACAGGGTGAAACTTTGAGAAGATTTTGCTCCTTTCATAAGAAAAAAATGTTATCTTGGTATATCGCAAGCAAATATTTATGAAAATATTTCAAGAACTAAATTTTTCCGATTTTTCTATTGATGAATATCACCTTAACAACAGATTGGATAGTCTTAAATATTCTGTGCTAGGACATATATGTAATAGTATTTAATGTTACTGTTTTGTGTCAGAAATATTTGATTTTTTCAACATTGATGTACCAGGTATGTAATGTGTGCAAGTAGAATGATATTTGATGTTTATCAATTCACTGTTCATGAAATACATCCTTTCTTCAATTGAAACCCAACTAAATATTAGCAATTATATCTTCATTTGAAGTAAGAGCTCACTTTGTTACCTCAGCACCGCTAACTGTTTGTATTACCGTCTATAACTAAGGTCTTGTGACCTCAAACTACATGTATTACTCATATTCCGTAGAAATATGCCATCTACTGAAACACAACCTGTAGATTACATTTGTTGATGAAGTCATGTATGAAACCATTGTTATGAATAAAATTCAAGTCAGTAATGATTTGAAAACATGAAACATTCTTTGGAGTTCCACTTTTCATTCCCTTTAGAGTCACATCTGCGAAGAGGTTTACTTTAAAGGTCACAGAGGTCAAATATGTCAACTTCATACATCTTCTGATGAACCAAAAGGTTTAGGACTGTGATATTTGGCTGTAGCTTTCTTAGATTGAGCCAAACGAAGTTTGTGAACAAAAATGATCTTGACGTCCTTACAAGGTCACTAAGGTCAAATATGTCAAAAACTTCAAAACAACTTTTTTTGAAGAACAGAAAGGCTTAGAATCATGATATATGGCTGATAGCTTCCCAGGTTGGAAGACATTGACCCACATTCATGGTCACAGATCTGTGGTCAAATATGTCAAAAACTTCAAATGTCTTCTTCTGAGGAACCAAAAGGCACAGGGTCTTGGATTATTGCTTGTAGATTCCTGGGATAGAGCCTGGCAAAGTTTGGGAACAAAAATTACTTTGACCTACTTTCAAAGTCACAGAGGTCAGATGTGTCAAAAACTTCAAATGCCCTACAAGATACAAGAAACTGAGAGCTATTATTGCGACAAACATATGTGAAATAACATTATATTACAAGTAAAGGGAGATAATCACATATATTAATAAAAAGCAGTAATAATTATCACAGGAAAGGAAAGTATCCATATCCCAGGTTTCTAAGTGATCGGTAGTCCCCTACCAACAAAGGCCCCCGGGATATGACCCTTTTGAAAAAATAAATATATAAAAATAGTGTTAATATATGAAAAGCATCAAATGTGAATCACAGTTGAGTAGTATTCAAAATAAGGAAATAAAAGACATGGTTAATAGTGAATGAATACTTGTATATCACACAAGAATTACTTAGGACTTAGGATTAAAACACTATGAGGTGGAATATACATACAATGCTAATATAGCAAAGAATAAAAAATGACAGAATATACACTATTATTGATCATTCTAAATTACCAAAATCTTGATTCAAATTAGTTCGTGTTTTCATCTAGGACAGTTTGGTACATGTAAGAATAATAAAATGATGTATAACTTGTGACATTCTACTCCATATTCATCGAGTCATCGTCAAAAGTGAGTTCACGAGACATACCGCTGAATAAAGTCTGTCGTGATAATGAACATTATCTGTTCCTGATGGTAATGTAACCTATTTTCTATTTTGATGAGATATATTATTTGATAGAAAAAGTGTTTATTTCTATAGTATGGATTACGCTCTCCAGTCAAAATATACACATAGACCAATAAGCTAGGCTACCGGCTAATATGGATAATTGTTTATATATTTTGCAATTTGTGCAAAATGAGGGTTTTTGACGTAAATGCCGAAATTTCCCCAAATTAAAGCTTAAGGTAACAAAGAGTGAAGGAATTTATGGCAGAATAATATATAAGATGTTTTTTCTGTTTTCAGTCGTCTTGAACAGTTAATTTAATTCCATTCTTAGTTATATTTTTGCGGCATGGATATGCATACTGTTGTATGCCGCAAACTTTATGAACGACTCATTTTTAAAGGAAACGGAAACCGTTTCCCAAGCCGATATCCGTAAGTTATTTCCGTAAACAAGATCGTTCCCACAGTTATATCAGTGTATAAACAACATAATATAACTTAACACGGAACGGTAGTTCCTTCTATTGATAAAATACACTGTATTACTGTCTCTATTCCTCTTTGTGCACTAATAAAAGTATTCAAGTAAACCTTTCGTACTTTTGTGACCGACTTTAACTAAGTATGGTGTATCATTGTGTACATAACGTGTGACATATGTACAGTCTCTGATAAAAGTATTTGAAATATCGATTATGAAAATACCCTGTGTGATGTTACAAGACTAAATAAATTATCTAACAAATAACTGTTCTGACATTAAAAGCTGTTTAAATATATATAGCTATCGAGAGCTATTATTGCGACAAACATATGTAAAATAACAATTACATATTATATTACAAGTAAAGGGAGATAATCACATATATTAATAAAAAGCAGTAATAATTATCACAGGAAAGGAAAGTATCCATATCCCAGGTTTCTAAGTGATTGGGAGTCCCCTACCTACAAAGGCCCCCGGGATATGACCCTTTTGAAAAAATAAATATATAAAAATAGTGTTAATATATGAAAAGCATTAAATGTGAATCACAGTTGAGTAGTATTCAGAATAAGTAAATAAAAGACATGGTTAATAGTGAATGAATACTTGTATATCACACAAGAATTACTTCAGACTTAGAATTAAAACACTATGAAGTGGAATATACTTATAATGCTAATATAGCAAAGAATAAAAAATGTCAGAATATGCACTATTATTGATTAATCTAAATTACCAAAATCTTCATTCAAATTAGTTCGTGTTTTCATCTAGGACAGTTTGGTACATGTAAGAATAATAAAATGATGTATAACTTGTGACATTCTACTCCATATTCATCGAGTCATCGTCAAAAGTGAGTTCACGAGACATACCGCTGAATAAAGTCTGTCGTGATAATGAACATTATCTGTTCCTGATGGTAATGTAACCTATTTTCTATTTTGATGAGATATATTATTTGATAGAAAAAGTGTTTATTTCTATAGTATGGATTACGCTCTCCAGTCAAAATATACACATAGACCAATAAGCTAGGCTACCGGCTAATATGGATAATTGTTTATATATTTTGCAATTTGTGCAAAATGAGGGTTTTTGACGTAAATGCCGAAATTTCCCCAAATTAAAGCTTAAGGTAACAAAGAGTGAAGGAATTTATGGCAGAATAATATATAAGATGTTTTTTCTGTTTTCAGTCGTCTTGAACAGTTAATTTAATTCCATTCTTAGTTATATTTTTGCGGCATGGATATGCATACTGTTGTATGCCGCAAACTTTATGAACGACTCATTTTTAAAGGAAACGGAAACCGTTTCCCAAGCCGATATCCGTAAGTTATTTCCGTAAACAAGATCGTTCCCACAGTTATATCAGTGTATAAACAACATAATATAACTTAACACGGAACGGTAGTTCCTTCTATTGATAAAATACACTGTATTACTGTCTCTATTCCTCTTTGTGCACTAATAAAAGTATTCAAGTAAACCTTTCGTACTTTTGTGACCGACTTTAACTAAGTATGGTGTATCATTGTGTACATAACGTGTGACATATGTACAGTCTCTGATAAAAGTATTTGAAATATCGATTATGAAAATACCCTGTGTGATGTTACAAGACTAAATAAATTATCTTACAAATAACTGTTCTGACATTAAAAGCTGTTTAAATATATATAGCTATCGAGAGCTATTATTGCGACAAACATATGTAAAATAACAATTACATATTATATTACAAGTAAAGGGAGATAATCACATATATTAATAAAAAGCAGTAATAATTATCACAGGAAAGGAAAGTATCCATATCCCAGGTTTCTAAGTGATTGGGAGTCCCCTACCTACAAAGGCCCCCGGGATATGACCCTTTTGAAAAAATAAATATATAAAAATAGTGTTAATATATGAAAAGCATTAAATGTGAATCACAGTTGAGTAGTATTCAGAATAAGTAAATAAAAGACATGGTTAATAGTGAATGAATACTTGTATATCACACAAGAATTACTTCAGACTTAGAATTAAAACACTATGAAGTGGAATATACATATAATGCTAATATAGCAAAGAATAAAAAATGTCAGAATATGCACTATTATTGATTAATCTAAATTACCAAAATCTTTATTCAAATTAGTTCGTGTTTTCATCTAGGACAGTTTGGTACATGTAAGAATAATAAAATGATGTATAACTTGTGACATTCTACTCCATATTCATCGAGTCATCGTCAAAAGTGAGTTCACGAGACATACCGCTGAATAAAGTCTGTCGTGATAATGAACATTATCTGTTCCTGATGGTAATGTAACCTATTTTCTATTTTGATGAGATATATTATTTGATGAGATATATTATTTGATGAGATATATTATTTGATAGAAAAAGCGTTTATTTCTATAGTATGGATTACGCTCTCCAGTCAAAATATACACATAGACCAATAAGCTAGGCTACCGGCTAATATGGATAATTGTTTATATATTTTGCAATTTGTGCAAAATGAGGGTTTTTGACGTAAATGCCGAAATTTCCCCAAATTAAAGCTTAAGGTAACAAAGAGTGAAGGAATTAATGGCAGAATAATATATAAGATGTTTTTTTCTGTTTTCAGTCGTCTTGAACAGTTAATTTAATTCCATTCTTAGCTATATTTTTGCGGCATGGATATGCGTACTGTTGTATGCCGCAAATTTTATGAACGACTCATTTTTAAAAGGAAACGGAAACCGTTTCCCAAGCCGATATCCGTAAGTTATTTCCGTAAACAAGATCGTTTCCACAGTTATATCAGTGTATAAACAACATAATATAACTTAACACGGAACGGTAGTTCCTTCTATTGATAAAATACACTGTATTACTGTCTCTATTCCTCTTTGTGCACTAATAAAAGTATTCAAGTAAACCTTTCGTACTTTTGTGACCGAGTTTATCTAAGTATGGTGTATCATGGTGTACATAACGTGTGACATATGTACAGTCTCTGATAACAGTATTTGAAATATCTATTATGAAAATACCCTGTGTGATGTTACAAGACTAAATAAATTATCTAAAAGACAATTGTTCTGACATTAAAAGCTGTTTAAACATATATATGCATAACAAATATACAGTTGCTATTTTTACACATATCGTTCATTCAGAAAGAAAAAAAGTAAATATTAATTTCATAATATGGTCATTTTGTCCACTTAGGTCTCAACAGTCGAAAAGAAGGAAAATGGACCTTTAGAGTATTCTGACACATGTAAAAATAAAATAAAATGGAAAGTGTTATGTGTGACGTTTCGATGACTAGTACGGTATGTTCTCCGTCACCTTCATCGGAAAAAAACCCACTTTTGTCTGATGAAGGTGACATAGTTCATACCGT